TCACTGTGATCTTACGGCACCACTCGCCAATGCTTTGGATTCTACGGTGATCTTTGCAGAGGCATTCTCTTTGACTATTGATTGGGAAAAGTCGTGGTGTTGGGGAACAACCCAGAAGATGAAAGACTTTTGGTCCAGCTCTGAAACATTGCAGGATCGTTACTCTGCCGGCGTTCCTCTCGTGCAATCTGCGTCCGAGTTGGGTGTTATGCGCATTTACGGGAAGAAACCTGCCCCTGCTGCTCTGCATAAACGTATCTCGAAAGGTGTCGAACGAAGCAAACGGATCCGGGCTGCAGCTGATACCGTTCGCACGCGAGCTAGCATCGTCCAGAGATGCATTTGGCCTCTTGCACTTTATAGTGCCGAGACACAATATGTTTCGATCAGCAAAATGAAGGAGCTCAGACGGGCTGGTGTCAATGCAGTTGTGGGTCCCTGGAAACAGGCTTCGTCCTGGGTTGCGTGTCACTACCTCTCGAAAGAACTTCAGGACCCGCTGCTTTACATCATGATTAACCTCCTTTGCCTGCTTCGGGCGGTTTATGATTTCTTGCCTGAGAAAGTCCGTTTCTTTTTGAGGCTCCTCAATGACCGGCCTTACACAAGGAGTTACGGCCCTGTCAGTGCTTGCAGCATGTACCTTCATCAACTGGGATGGGAGTTGGATGCGCTGGGGACGCTGCATGGGCCTCCTTGGTTACCTAAGATCTCGATTGTTACCTGTGCGCGCAAAGAAATCAAAAGGACTTTGGTTCAGTGGTGGTCTGTGCAGGTTTGGCAGAAGTCTAAACATCGCAAAGGCGTCCCCTCTTTGCCGTGGGATCGGGACATCACTCTCAAGGTGTTGGACAAATTTGCTGATAAGGACTTTGCGTTTCTTTCCACACGGATTACTAATGCTTTTCTGAGTGGAGCAGCACGTGCCCTCTTTCGCGAGCCGACTGAAGGAGTTGAGATATGTGAGAAGTGCGGCGGCGGTTCAGTTCCTTGAAGACAATGAGGCTTTCAGAACTTTCCCTATGCCCCCTGTCTCTGCTGGTGGGTACATCCTACAGAAGATGTTGGGAGACCAACAGGGGAGGCATACCATTCACATTGGTGTCCCTGTGCGAGAGGAGCTTGTCTTTTTCACTGATGGATCTTGCACGGATCCCACTGTTCCACTTTGTCGTAGAGCTTCTTGGGCTGTTGTGCAAGCCATTGATGTCACTGATGAAGAAATTGCGCGACAGTTCACCTTGGATCGCCCTGACATTCCTTTTTATGAGCGGTTTCGCTGTTCGGGGTGTGGCTTTGTCCATGGACATCAGACGATCGACAGAGGAGAGTTGTCCTGTATTGTTGCAATTTTTAATTCTGTTCAGGATCTGGAGTACAAAGGCAATATCCGCATTCACACCGACTCTCAGTATGTCTGTGCTTGTCTTGATATGGTGTGGAAAGCGGTGCAATCAGAATGTCTGCAGGGTAAGAGAGCCCACAATTTCGATCTCCTTTTGCAATTGTTTTCGACCTGGCCGCCTGGCCGGGTCACTTGGACGTGGGTTAAAGCCCATCGCGAAATTAGTGAAGCTTCATGCCCGGTTGATGCTTGGCGCATCATTGGGAATGCTACGGCTGACAAGCTCGCGGGGGCTGCCCTTGCCAATGACTCGCCTGAGATGCATGTTGCCGTACATGAGGTGCGGCAAGAATTTGTTGGTTGGATTGCCAGACTCACTAAGGTGTTTGCGTATTTTGTCGAGCTGGACAGATGGTCAGTCAACTGGAGGAGGGACACGCCGGAGGATGACAAGATTGAAGGGGCTGTCGACTTGGTTTCCGACTCTACTCATGCTGCGGCGAGTCAATTTAAGGAGGTGCAAAAGCTCCTTGGCAACTGGAAGGTCGTTGACTCTCTTTTCATCCCTTTTTATACACCGGAGGATGACCTTTTCTGCGCTATCCCGGCGGGGCAGAAAATCGCTCGGGCGGTGTGGTATTGGATGCACACGCTTAGATGGCCACAGCAAGGTAGTACGCAGCTGGATGATGTCGGGATCACTTATCTGGAGTTGCTCGCCAACTTCTACCTGTTTTCTGGCATGCGCCTCCCGGTTGTGTTTCATTCCAATCGAAAAGCGACGCTGACGTCTTTCAGGGACTATGACTCTGCTGAGACCCAGATGTTGCCCTACTCTGCGAAAGCTGCATCGCAACAATATTCGACGCTTGCCACGATCATGCAGCAGTTAAATGATGTTACCAGGAACTGGAGCCTGCCCAACACCAGGCAAGCTTTCCTCAAGGAGAGGAAGATTTTCTACCCCGTGAGACAGTGTGGCACTTTTGTCTCTCGACCTGAGATTGAACGTGCTTCAGAGACGGTCAACTGGGTCATCGACTACTGTACCTGGAGTTTCGCCGCCGGGGAGGCGGCTTGACTTTGCACTTTGGTCAGGTTGCCGTGGCCATAGTGCTGCGCGGAGCTTTGTCGAAAAGAGCCGCTGCAAAAAAAAAAAAAGACCATTGTGCGTTGGTGCCCTGTTTTCTTCCTTGTTGGGCAGCTAGTTGTTGGCAAGCAGTGGCGATTTTTCAGTGTTGCAAGTTGTTGCTCCGAGGATGTTGCAGCTTTCTCAGTTGGTGTCCGCATCTTGTTTCACATGAGGAGACAAGTTATTGAGAAGGGCGGCCTTGCTCACAGCATTATTGTTGCTACTGCCGACGTCCATAGGACCGTTGCCAGCATTGCGGAGTTTGTTCGGTCCGACCTTCACCCCATTCATTGCCGGGCGCTTGGTGTTACAGCTGCGTATCGGCCTGAAAAAGGATGTCTTGCCGATAGGGTTGTTGAGGTCATTGCCCCAATGCCCCTGGCCCTTGCCGCGGCACTTGCCTGCCCCCGCAGGCTCGTTGCTACCACAGGCGATGTCATTGCCGGCCAAACTCTTGCGGTCGGGGGGAGCCGTGATCCGGTCCTCATGCTGATGATGCAGCAACACGATGAGGTTTGGGGCACTGCTAATGCTGAGCTACGAGTTGAAGAATGTCATTGTGGGGAGGTTCACATACGTGCGGTAGCCACCCAAGCCATTCCTGCTGGGGGCACAGGTTCGTTGTGGTTTGCGGCACTCTGGCGATTCAGCTTGGCTTGTGCAGTTTGACGGCTCGGGGCAGATGGGCTGGCCGGTGGCGGGGTGGGTTCTGTACCAGGTAGGGGCAGACAACATGGCTGCTGTCGATTGGGGTGCCGTTCCTATCGCTCCTTGCAGTGATAATCTTGTTGCTGAAGCTATTGGCCTGGACGCTGGCCTCCGGGCCGCTCTGGCGCACATTTCTTCCGCCGGGGGACTGGGTACTGGTCAGCTGGTTGTGCAAGGTGATATCTTGCCACACTTGCAGTTCATGAGGTACGAGGGGCGCTCCAAACGGTCGGATATTGTTCAAGTGCTTAGCCATCTACGTACCTTTGTTTCACATCGAATCCGAGCCATCCGGTATCTTCACCTCCCTCGGGAGGCCAACAAGATTGCTGATCACCTTGCCGGTATTGCACGGGTGGCAGCCCAGCGTGGGTGTTCTGCCACGGTTGGAGCCATCCTTGAAGCCGCTGTTGATGCCAAGTGTGCGTTGGATCTCATTGAGGTCCCACTCGCCTCATGGGAACTTGTTGCTGGTTGGGTCGCCCAGCACCCACGACATCGCCCGGTATCGTCGGCATATGTCTCTCGGGTTCTTGCGGTTGCGGGCTTGTGCATGTTGCTTACACCTGGCAGCCAAATTTGGATACTGGGCCCTTGGAAGCAGTTGGACCGTGTGCACAGAAGCTGCCACCCTCTACGACTCATCCTCTATGGCCTTAACCGCTGGGAGGTCAGTGTCGAAAGGTGCTGGTTTGCGGTCGCACGGCAGGCTAATCCTATGCACCCGTCCTCCCAACATATGACGGTCTGTTGGACCAAGTGGCCAACTTGCTTCCCGCACGCCCTTCTGGCGCGTCTCAATTGACTCGGGCTCGTGTTGCTGTACGGCAGACACTATGTCAGGGTGCGGGTCCTGCGATCTACCACGTTCGGCAAGACGACCTTTTTGTCGCTGATGAGCTCTGTCTTTTATTGCGCTGGTTGGAATCCTGCTGCCGTGCCGCTACTGACGCTCTTGACCCTCGCTCACCTATTCGGTCCGAGATTCTGCAGCGTGCTGAGGTTCTGGACGAGTGGGGCCTGTGGGGGGCCCTTGGTCACGTCATTGTCCGGACCTTCCTTGAGGTGCTTCGCGAACTTTTCCACATGGACAGCGTGGTCTGGCTACGCGACTGCCTTTGGGTGTTTCCGTGTCCGCCAGAGAACCTGTTGGTTGCTGCACTGTCACAAGCCCTGGCTCGTCTGGCCCTCCCTTTTGATGCCAAGACGCTGCAGACAGTCTCGACAAGGAGCGAGAGGTTATCGTTGCTGCGACTGGCAGGGGCCCCCCTCTTGCGCTTCCCAAGGTTGCTGGACGAAGCACGACACTGCAACCCAACAAGGTGATTTCACGCAAACGCAAAGCGGATGTTCCTGCTCAAACTTTGCACACCTTTTTCCGGCGCATTACGCGGAAGTGATTTTGTGAAGTTGGTCTCTTTTTCTGTCACAGTGGTGGCCCCCCCCTTTTTTGCCAGCTTCATGAGCTTTTATACGTCTTGCCAGTGGTGCCTTGGCTCGCAGGTTTGGGTGTCTGGTTCTAGCACGATCCGGCCCCTCTGTTTCAGATTGTTGCGCGGGAGTTAGATAGCCATGGAGCCGGTGGTTAGCGGCCCTCGCATCTAGCAGAGGGGGCGCTCCAGCAGTCGAGCATCATTGTGCACAAAGTCAGCCGTGACTATCTCCTGAGGGGCATTCCGACGGCTCTGGTCGAGGCAAGAACAAGCGGGTTCCGGACATTTGGATACCCGTCCAATTGTGCTCTGAGTGCCCAGCGCAAGACGTTGACATTTGCGCCCATCTGCCCTCTGATGTTGACCTTGGACATGTTCTGAGGCGCCCCGACGGCCTTATGATCACTGGCCCGAACATGGCGGCGAGGCGGAAGCTGGCCCTTTTAGCGGATGAGTTGGTCCCTGCCGGTGCGCTATGTTGCTTGGATGGCGGAACCTGTTTCGGGAGAAACGTGTGGCCCATTTTCAGTATCGCTTGCCGAGGAGGATCCTTTGAATGAGGAACTAGGGAGATCGCCTGCTGCGTGGCTTGCGGGGGAGGAGGCTCCGATGGATGGCCCCCTCCTCATCCCGCCGACGACACGGTGGAGCTCCTCACGGAACTGGTGTCTTGCCTGGAGTGGACACTGGCAGCAGCACAGCGGGTGCTGAGCAGTGCGCAGGGTCGGACGCGCCAGGATGATGATGGGGGTGTGAGAGAGGGTCCCTATGCACGGCCGCGGCCGTCTTCGAGTCAAGGGCATTGAAAGATGCGAGTCGCAACTACACAAAAGATGCCCCAACACTGGCCTAGCGTAGCCAATGTGATCGAATTGTTTTATGCCCCAGGACTGACATCGGCTTCAACGGGACAACACAACAGGAGGTCTGCGCAGCAACAGCAGGCCAACTGAGCAACGCGGCGTCGTGCCCTCATCGCGCCTGCTCCTCGGAAACGTGCTGCGCCACCTTCTCTAGCAGCTCCGCTTTGGACATTTTGCGTCCAGCTTCACGTTGCTGCATGCCCGCGGTGCCAGCAAGCTGTCGCAGCTGCACGGCGGTCTGCTTGGCCAGCTCCGCGTCAGCCAGCCAGCTCCCCGTGCGGCAAAGCCTTCTCGACTACACAAAAGATGCTCCAAGAGTGGCTAATCATTAAACGCACAGTTTTATCGAACTGCTCAAGACTGGCCTATAGCTAATGTTATCGAATACCGAAGCTTTGCTGGTCGTGCGTTCACTCGTGCGTTCACTTGCTAACCTGCAAAACTCCACACGCATGGCTGAAGCACGACAACGCGAAGCAGGTGAAGCGACGTGCGTCCTGTGCCTCTGTGTCTTGCTCCTGTCTGGGCCCTGCCTGCTCCTTGGACAGCCGCTGCAGCGCGTCACCATCGCCGCGCGCCATGCAAGCAACACACTCGATGCGGCGGTTTACTACACTACACCGATGCCCAACACGCTCGATGCGGTGGCTTCGATCTGGCGAGCTGTAGAAAATGTAGCTGCTGCTGGCTAGTCTTGCTCTAACGCTCTACATGTGGGGCTCCGAAAATATGCTCCCGACGGCGCAAAAGCAAAAGCGTGTCTCAAGGTAAACCGAGCCTCAACTCATGCGGATCCTCAACTCAAGTGTGCGCGCAGTGCTCCAAAAACTATCGGAACGGCTGCCGGGCGCAAAGGCTGTTGCTGAGAAGTCTTGCTTCAATGCTACATGTGGAAATGTGCCAAACACTCTTTGCAAACACTGCAGGTAAATTTGACTTCGCCCTGAAGGACGGCGCTGCCCACGAAACAAAAAGAAACAAGCCAATAGCAACCGGCTCCTGCCCGAGTCAGACACAATGCTGTGGCGTCTTCGTGCTCCAGCAATGAAGCGTATGTTTCTGCAAAGCAGGCTCGTGTAACTTAGCTCTGCGCAAGATGGCTCTGCGCAACTTGGCGCGCTGCTACCTGGCGCGCGCAAGCTACTTTACGCGAGTGGCTCTGCGCAACTTGGCTCTATAAAGCGTGGCTCTGCGCGAGTCTGCTCAGCGCAACGTGCTTTGCTTGCTTTGCTTTATTTTTTTTTTTTTTTGCTCAAGTTGCGCTGCATGATTTCTCACGAAAGTGGTCTGCGCAAGCTGCATTGTTCCAGGCTGCTTTCGGGCAAGTTGCTCTCTGCACGCTGCTGCACGCAAGTGCTCTGTGCAGGTTGCTCTGCGCAAGTGCGCTGCGCCAGTTGCTCCATGCGAGCGCTTTGCGCATGTGCTCTGTGCAAGTTGGTCTGTGCAAGTTGCTCTGCGCAAGTGCTGTGTGCAAGTGCTCTGTGCAACTCGCAGAGCGCAAGTTGCTCTGCGCAAGTGACTCTGCGCAAGTTGCTCTGCGCAAGTGCTGCCGGAGCTGTGGGAATGTACTTCGCGCACTATTTTTGTACTTAAAAGTTGCGAGTGTCCAGCCGGAGCTGCGGGAATGTGCTCCGCGTACTACGTTGTACTTAAAAATTGCGATTTTCCAACCGGAGCTGCAGGGGCACGCTCCGCGTACTACGTTTGTACTTAAAAGTTGCGATTTTCAAGCCGGAGCTGCGGGGGTGTGCTCCGCGTACTACGTTTGCACTTAAAAGTTGGGATTTTCCAGCCTGAGCCGCGGGAGCATGCTTAAAGTTACGATTTTCCAGCCGGAGCTGCAGGAGCACGCTCCGCGCACTACGTTTGTGCTTAAACGCTGCGATTTTCAAGCCGGAGCTGCGGACCAGGGGGGAATCGAACCCGCGACCGCGGGATGCGAAAGCAGGCGCGCAAACCACGAGACAACTTCCAAAGGCCGTTTCGCGAGCAAGAATATTGCACGGCGCCGCAGCGAGAGCGCTTCAATCTCCGCAGAGGGTTCGCCGAGACTAAGACAAATTCGCACGGCGCCACAGCAAGAGCGCTTCGACGCGCACGATCTCCGCAGAGGGTCGCGCGCGGCCAGCAGAAATCGTAAAAAGTCGACAGTTTGTGAGCGTCGACCGCGCGAATCTCCGCGCAGAAATCGTAAAAAGCCCTCAGTTTTTGAACCTCGTGCGCGCGCCGCAGAAATCGTAAAAAGTCCTCAGTTTTTGAACCTCGACCACGCGAATCTCCGCAGGGTCGCGCGCGCGCCGCAGAAATCGTAAAAAGTCCTCAGTTTTTGAACCTCGACCGCGCGAATCTCCGCAGAGGGTCGCGCGCGGTGAGCAGAAATCGTAAAAAGTCCTCAGTTTTTGAGCCTCGACCACGCAAATCTCCGCAGAGGGTCGCAATCCCGAGCGACGATCAAACTCCCGCCCCGGCGCCTTAGAAACCTAAACTAACTTACATAGCTGCTAACGCCGAAGCACAAAGCTCAACCTAACCTTGGCTCTATGTAACTTGGCTCTATGTAACTTGGCTCTATGTAACTTGGCTCTATGTAACTTGGCTCTATGTAACTTGGCTCTATGTAACTTGGCTCTATGTAACTTGGCTCTATGTAACTTGGCTCTATGTAACTTGGCTCTATGTAACTTGGCTCTATGTAACTTGGCTCTATGTAACTTGGCTCTATTTAACTTGGCTCTATGTAACTTGGCTCTATTTAACTTGGCTCTATGCAACTTGGCTCTATGTAACTTGGCTCTATGTAACTTGGCTCTATGTAACTTGGCTCTATGTAGCTTGGCTCTATGTAACTTGGCTCTATGTAACTTGGCTCTATGTAACTTGGCTCTATGTAACTTGGCTCTATGAAACTTGGCTCTATGTAACTTGGCTCTATGTAACTTGGCTCTATGTAACTTGGCTCTATGTAACTTGGCTCTATGTAACTTGGCTCTATGTAACTTGGCTCTATGTAACGTGGCTCTATGTAACTTGGCTCTATGTAACTTGGCTCTATGTAACTTGGCTCTATGTAACTTGGCTCTATGTAACTTGGCTCTATGTACTTGGCTCTATGTAACTTGGCTCTAT